CAGCCGCAAGTTTTCTCCTCCTTCCCCTGCTGTTTTCCAGGTCTTCAGGCTTAAAGCTGCAGCGCGGTGGACATGGAGAGCATTACGCAGCTGTTCGGGGAGCTGTGCGAGGCGCACCTGGCCGTCCTGCCCTGGAAGGTGCACCTGGGCCGGCGGAGGGTTTGCAAGCGGAGGGCTAAGCAAAACCTGAAGAGAGTCGCCTACAACGCCCTCTTCATGAACCTCTTCCAAGATGAGGCTCGCAGGCTGCACTCCAATGTTGCCCGGCTCCCGGTGAAAAACAAGATTTTGATGCTGTCCTTCAACTTGAGAGTGGGCGGTCTAGGTGCCCAAGCAGATAGGCTGGAAAGCCTCGTGGAAGAGCTGGAGGCTGCTGATTCCTTGCCGTTCACTGAAATCAATTCCATCTTGGATCTCCTCGTGCAGCTTGCCGGAACAGGCCCTCCTCAGCTTGTACCGCAAAAGAAGGACTATTTTCTAAACAACAAATACGTTGGGAGAAATGTCAAGTACCAGGGTTATGATTATTACGACGTGAGTGTGTTCGAAGCTGACATTCAATCTCTCATCACAAACGAAGAGTGTCAGTTCAGCGACACTATCCAGAAGACGCTGCAGATCATGGAGGCTGCGCCTGGAACGGGCCTCCCTGCCATGGGGCTCTTCTCGCAGAGCTGTCCCGCTGGCGACAGGTTTGAGAAGGAAACGCGGGTCTCGCTCTTCGGAGCCCTGGTCCACAGCAGAACCTACGATATGGACATCAAGCTGGACCTGCCGCCCGTGCCCGACAGCGCAGATTTGTCTGGACTTGCAATTAAAGTATGGTATCGTTTGGTTTGGGCTCAAAGCAAACTCGTGCTTCTAATATGCCCTTTTGAAACTCCGTTTAAATATACGTACTCTCTTTTGTGTGCATTTTTGTGATACAAACATGCCAGTGCTTGAATTTAAGCTGGAACAGGGATTCTGGCCTTTATTGACAGGCAGATAGGCTTTCCAGGTACAGAGATGGCAAAAATCTTGGTGTCATCTGTAGCAATGTGCCAAAGATGTAATCGGCCAGAGGCCATTTGAAGTTACGCCATCAGCTGTATGTGTTCATGCTTCCCTTTGCTTACATTTTTGCCTGCTTTATGTATTGAGCATCTTTCCATTCTTGTTTGTTACCGTTCAGTCTGATTGCATAAGCATTCCTGTCTGAGTGTGTGCTCTGCTATGCAGATTACACTGCCTTACTTGTGTTTCCTGAGTTTGCTGTGTTAAACCAGTTGTTTCAGTTGTTATTTTTCATTAACCTTTATATTTCCCACTGTCCTCATGCATTTCCAGAGTGTACAATTTCTACTGCTTCTTTTTTTCCCCTTTTGCTATCCATTTTATTTATTTTTTGCTATGCTTGCTATATTATATTCTCATTCTAGATAGCAGATTTGGGGTTTTTTCCTCCTTTCAGGGAAGATTTTCCTGTCTGAGTGTGTGCTCTGCTATGCAGATTACACTGCCTTACTTGTGTTTCCTGAGTTTGCTGTGTCTTAAACCAGTTGTTTCAGTTGTTTCATTAACCTTTATATTTTCCACTGTCCTTATGCATTTCCAGAGTGTACAGTTTCTACTGCATATTTTTTCCCCTTTTGCTATCTATTTTATTTATTTTTTGCTATGTTTGCTACATTATATTCTCATTCTAGATAACAGATTTGGGGTTTTTTTCTCCTTTCAGGGAAGACTTTTTCATGTTTCTGTACTTTTAATCTCAGTTTTGTTATTTCCATTAATATATGGATTGCTTTGCAATTCCCATTATTTGTTGTCTTAATAGAAACCTGAAGGCAGACACATTAAAAAAGATAACCCTGTTGCCATTTAACGTATGCACAGCAATGTAAATTGTAAGTGAGGAGAGGCATAACCCTTTTCAATAAGCATTGTCCTGAAATCAATAAGAATTTGTTGAAAAGAAATTCTGAGCAGTATTATTTTACTGGAGTGTTGCATGTTGTTGTATGCCCAGAGGTGAGACTGTCAGTCACTTGGTATGTTTGCAGAAGGAGTAAGTTTCAATTTTAATACCAGCCAAATGTATTATTTTGATGATGATTGTTGTTTTATATACAGTCATTGGTACCTGCAGATGTAACGAATGAAAGAGTACTTACAAAATAAGCTTAATATGAAAGGGAAGAACAGATTAAAATACTGCGTCACAAATGATAGCAAGACGTATTCTTTTTTTAGCATAAATGTCTATATTAATATATGATTTTGTGTATGAACTCTTTTGGCAGGTTCCTCAAAGCATAGACCAGTCAGAAGACGAGGGATTCCAGTCAGCGTCCAACCTGACTCCAGATTCTCAGTCGGAGCCCAGCGTGACGCCAGACATAGACCTGTGGGACGCGGTGCTTACGTACGGACCCAGCAAGCGGAGGTGCTGGGAGAGGATTGGATAGTACGTGTCTGGTGCTGCTGGAAAACTTGCTATACATCATCATCATATATCTGTGTGAGGGTGCATTTTGTCTCCGTTCTGGGAGACTGTGGTGTAAATACAGAAAGGTGCAAATTTAACACACAGAATTCAGGATACTGCTGTATACTGAATCGAGAGAGGAAATAAAGGTGCTGCAGCTTCTCCAAACTAGATGTTAAGACTGCAGCTAACTTTTTCATAGGAGCAGATTAAAATATCATCTTTGTCAGAAAAAGAGCAAAGGGAATAATGGAACACCTGCTGCCTCTGTGAAATGGGCTCTTTTTTCATCAGTCAGGCTTCTTGTGGAGTATGCAATTCCTTTCAATCTAAAATAGTTAGATAATTTCAGTTTCCAAAGAGAATATGGTAGTTGTACTGAAAGATTTAAAACTATAGTTCAGTATTGTATTCTTGTTTTCTGCATCTGTGACGAAGGCAGAAACTTCATAGCTGGTTTCTTTATAGTATTACTAGACTTGCAGTTCTTTTAGCTATTTAAGAGAAGATACATCTAGATGGTGGTACTCAGAGAAATCTTCCTCTTTATATTTTCTGTATTTTTTTAATAGCCTAGTAATGTATCTGTTGCAGTATCATGTTTTTTTGTTTGTTTGGTTGGTTGGTTTTTTTCAGTTCCAAGCCTCAGAAGCTCATTTCTGTATCTGATTTCTCCAGATCCACTGTAGTTCTGTCTAGCTTTGTTCATGGTACAAGGCAGTATTTCTTAATGCGTTTAGTCTATAAGTCTCAGATTTAAAGAAAGCTCATACGTCTGACAGCTTTGATGGAGTGGATGTTGCTCGAATTCATAATTTTTGGAAGCAGTGGCAGGAGAATGTGCTTTGAAGGGAATAGTTATCCTCACTGGGAAGAACTTGAAAGGTGTTAATATAAATCATAAAAGGATTTTGAGCATATCTATTTTTGAAGTATTAAAATACTAATATTACAATGACCCTGGAAATGTAGTTTCTATTGCCCTCATTTTACTAGTGTGAAAACTCCAGCAGAGAAAGCCACCAGAGAAGCTTGGTAACTCTCCATCAAGATTTCTATCTCTGAATAGATACTCAAATTATCTAGAAGTTTCTTCACTGTACTGACTTACGGTTACAGTTATATGGGCTGGATGCACATTCTTTTGATAACGCAGCATGATACTGGTAGCAGTTTTTTGTGGACAGTGCGTATTACTGACCGTGTAAAAATCAGAAAAAGCTATTTGCTTTTTTTTAGGAGTTATGTTTCCTTCTTTTCATATAATCCTCTTTTAATGTTGTGTTTACTCCAACGCAGCCCACCTGGTAAAAAAGAGGAACCATACCTTACTGAAGCTGGGAGAGAAGCTTTTGACAAGTTTTACAGACTCCGAGAAGGGGAATTGCAGCTATTTAGTAATACTGTGCTTCAGTTTCCACAGCTTGTGCTAATGAAAGAGCCTGAACTGGTTAAGGATGTGTTAAATGTCCTCATTGGTGTGGTATCTGCCACATTTTCACTCAATCAGGTATGGAAGATGCTTTAAGTGTAGTTCCTAGTTATATCTAAGCTTCGTAGGGGTTTCTTTAGGAGGATTAAACTTGCTTCTTTTGAGATCTTAACAATTATTTTTGATATTCTTAAAAGGCTAAATGTGGCCATAGTGTAGTAAGGCGATATTGGTGTATGGCAGTAGAGGTGTTACTGTAGTGTAATTGGCAACGGATGCTTGTACTGCTCTAAGTGAAAATTGGTTTGAGAATTCTTGAAGATAGAAATGTGAATAGTTTTGCAGTAGGTTTTCATTAAAGCATTGGATACTCTTATTCTGTGTGTTTGAAAATATCATTGACACTCCCAAATTTCACTGAAATTTAATATGCTTAACTTACCATCCTAGCTGTAGAGCCTCAGTAACCAGAGAGCCTGAAGTACTCTTCAGGTTTGTCTGTTAATATTGCTGTATATAAACATCTGCTGTTTTAAATCCGAATACGTCGGTGAAATATTTGAAGTTGCCTTTTTTCCCCCTATGTCATTTTAGGCTGCGCAAACATTCGTGATAAAGGAGGGGGTTTATGTATCTGGAACCTCACCAGAGGCGATGCACAATCTGCTCTCAGAAGTGGCAGAGTATGGGACCTACTACACACGACTGAGTCGTTTCTCTCTTCAGCCAGTCTTAGATTCTTCATATAACAAAGGGCTTGTATTTCAGGTAATGCAGTCTTCTTAAATCACTTATTTTTCAGTGACCTGTTTATTTTAGATAGAGAGGGTAACTCTGATTTCAGGTAGGCTGCAGAACTCTGCAGAACTGCAATGTATTTTCAGGATAAGTATATTTGCTGAAGCTCTGCAGTGAAGCCCTGTGTAAACTGGAGCTGTGTGTATCTTGGGCTCACAGGTACTGAAAAAAGAGATGAAAGCGCTTCATTACCTGAAGTTTGATTTATTTATTCCTATCCTCTTGAAAACTAGAGGAATAGCATTTCTAAACGTTACATGTTTGTACATTCAAATACAATAACTTATAGTTTATACAATACAATGCACAAATACAGAATCTGTATACATAAATGTATATTTTAAAATATGTATGTTATTTTTAGAGCTTAAAAAATGAAATAGAGAATCATGATGTTCAATAGCTTTAATTACTTCTTCACCCTCCATAGTTGTTTCTTAAGTATAAATTTTTCTCTTAACAGTCACCTGTGAAATACAATGAGCCCTATTTTCATTGTGTATTATTGGGTGAATTCACATAGAATTCAGTGAAGATCAGCTGCAAAAATGCCTTTCTTCTGAATATTTGATTTATGGTAATGCTAACAGAAATTATATATGTGTACTTCAAAAGGAGAAAAGAAAGTCTGTCTTGCTAGCAAAGGTTGGATATTTAGAGATTTGTTTTTTCAAAACCCAAAGTACATGCAGATAAGGTTTTCCTGGACCGATCTCACAACTGTTAAAAAGTGAATAGCTTCTCAAAATGGCAATGCAAAGAACCTGAACCAATTGAATCAAGACACTCTATTGTGTTGTGCCAGAATATATAGTCTCTGTGCACTGCATGTAGAAAGGGTTTGGAGGAGCCAGCTGCATGACTCCCAGCCTACTTGGATGTCATGGTGAGTGTATTTTGCCCTTACTTTGGACACCTTTTTTTTCTTTTCTCTTTTTGGAAAAGGGTTTGTTTTCCTGGGGATGTAATTGATGTGAGGCTTAGGTAGGCTATTAACAGCTTTAACCTTTAACAGACTTTGTCGTTATTTCTATTGATATTAGGCATTCACAAGTGGGTTGAGAAAGTATCTTCAGTATTACCGAGCCTGTGTTTTGTCAACACCTCCTACTCTAAGTCTTCTAACAATCACCTTTCTCTTCAGAAAATTGGGTCGTCAGTTGAGGTAAGAAAATCATATTAAATATTTAAGCTATTCAATGAAGAGAAATGCAATCTCTTTCTTCATGTGTGTGAAAAATATTAGATGTTATTACACAGTCTTCAGCATTTTTCCTGTATTTTAATGGAAAGATTTATGTCCAAGAAGGGTATAGGAAAAGCACATAAAACCTTTTAAATTAGGTAAGCCTACATTTCTTTTGTAATATGTATTTCAAACTACTGTATGCTTGTTGCATGATACTCAATAACAAACAACATTGCTGAGAACCCAGAGACTTCTGAGTGAAAGATGTAACTACATATGTTCAGTACTCCTGTGTTTCAGGTACTTGGCTGAACTTTGTGGCATAGGAACGACGACACTGGCCATCAGTGGCGGAGCTGGTACTTCATTTCCTACGGTGATAATTCATTTCATGTTTTTATGTTTATCTTGGGATAGAATATTAAAATGCTTCAAATCAATTAGGTAGGATTTTGTATAAATTATTTAGTGCTGATCTCACTTTGTTACAGAAAAAATCCAGAAATAAATATTGCTTGACTTGAGTAAAAATACCACGGAGCTAGTATTGAAATGCTTTGAAATTTATAGGTGCAGTGTGAAATGAAAAAGAACAATTTCAAGGGATGGTACTTGCTCTTTTTTGGATTTGGCTTCTGTATGTGCCTTTGCAAATATGAAAGTGTTTAAAGTCACAACCCAGAAAAATCAGAGCATTTATAAATAGTGTTGTTGCACAGAAGAGACAGAGCAATCTTCATTTACCTTTGGATTAGAAGGGTTGTTTTGGAGACAGGATAAATTGATCTTTTACCTCTCGTGCCAAAGTGGGTATAAAATGACCTGCGAGACCTACATCTAGAATGCAGTGATCCTTTCTCCAGATACTTTAAACTTTGGAATTTTATCCAGTAATTTAAATTTCAATTCCTGAAGTAAACGAAGGACTCAGAATAGGCCATGGAGCATATGTCTTCTCATCTAAAAGAGAGTCTGTAGCAAGTCAAATGAATCCACTTCTAAATATGCCTGTTCCTCTCCAGTGACCGTAAAGTGATCTTAGGGTAACTAGCTCAGATTAAACTGGTCTTAGCTGCAGATATCGTGATAGCAATCCTGTCCCCTCTGTGTAGTGAAAGAGATGTAAGCGTGTGTGTTTAGGAATCTTTCTTTCTAGGAACCCAGTGTTATAGTGGAATTTATTGTCTTACATTAGAATAGTCTTTATTTCTTTCAGGGTGTGAAATTGCTTTCGTATCTGTACAAAGAGGCTCTCAACAACTGTAGCAATGAGCATTACCCAGTTCTTCTGTCTTTGTTAAAAACCAGCTGTGAACCATACACAAGGTGTGTGTATTTTCTTCCCTAAATAATTGTGTTTAGGAACAGTTTTGAATTAGTAATCTGGTGAGTAACTGTTAATTTGACAATGTCTTTTGGCATTTTCAGAGGGGATGTAAGCTGTGTCTCCAAACACATGTTTTACTGCTTTCCTTCTTTCCCCCACTTTCCCAATCCATCAACAACATAAAGGCTCTGTGTATGTTTAGCCCTAAAAATTCTCACTGAAATCTAAGACTCAAAAAACTTTTTAATTTTTCTTCTCACATACCGTTGCTTCTAGTATAACCCTGACACAGGCAAAATCTTTCTCTTGTTGCACAAACCAGAAAAGTTCATGGTCATTTTCTATGTGTCTTTTCTATGTGGGCTTTTCAGTAAACAAAAATAAAGTGAAATAAATTTGTTATTCATTAAGTAGGCAGAATTAAGTAGAGCTAGGAAACGGATTTCCTTGTATTTCAACAGTTTTGTTAGTCAATACTCTTCAGTTTAGGAGTTGTTAAGTTTGTATACTTCTGAAGAGATAGGGTTTTTTTAATAAGTATGTATAGAGATTATGTATAGAGAGTATGTGTAGACGATTATCAGTGTACAGTGATATTTATTAGACATAACGTTATTAAAAGGAAAAAAAAAAAAGATGTTCTAAATTGAATATTCCTCCCATAGTCACCCTCCCTTGTTTTTTCTTCCTTCTGTTTAAACTCTTCTTCGGATAAATTAATTTCAGATTTCTTCATTTTCCCTGAAGATCACAATATCTCATGATAGCTCCTGTCCTGTAGTTTACAACTTGTAGTTTTATTTCTTAAGTAGCAAGGACAGGATGTCAAGGCATCCTGGCATACAAAGCCAAGGCATACAAAGCCAAAAATATAAAAGTCCACTTTCTCATACGTAGTATTTGTGGGCCTGACCCCTAAATCTGTTGCAGATCACAGTCAAAACGTCAGTCACATAAGCAGTGTGGGCTGCCATAGAAGAAGGCAGGTAAAGAAAAGTTAGCCCCCTTATTTGTTAACCTGAAATATGTAAACTAACAGAAGTTGGTTTTGCTCATACAGTTCATAGAAGCGTGAGTTTTAACATGTAAAAAGGTCTTAACTTTTTACGTAAACTCATGGTTGAACTATGGTTTCTGTGCTTAACATCTCATTTTTAGCATGCTCAACAAACCAGCAACTAGTTGCTGGTATTGCAGCTAAAAGGAAAGCAAAGTATTAGATTGAAGGTGATCTTGAGCTTTTTTAATTTATAGTTTCGTATTTATTTTATTCAGAAGCCTTTTATCACAGAAGGGAAATCTGAAAAAGCATGGACAAATGTTCTAAAATAGTAGTTCTCATTTTCTGCACATACATAAAAAAATTTCTCTAGTTCCAAGGAAAAGTGTTTGGGTATTTGTTTTATACTCTTTCCTGTTTCTCCTTGCTAAAGTTATTTGACTTGAAAATAAATCCGTCCTGCTTTTCTTTCTCTGTTCTTCTGATGTGTCTGAGTAGATTGCTAGAGACTTTTTAATATGTACTTAGTAATGCGCAGTTATGAAGATTGTTTTAATCCAGGCAATGCTGTTTGGTCTTAAATATTTTTCACTGAAATGTGTGATAAAAAGGGAATTTCTTTTGAGAAAGAAAACACAGATACAGTCTCATGTATATTTTAATATTAGTGCAGCAGCACTTAATTGCTCATTCTTAACCTAGTTAATATTTGCTTTGATATTGTAAAGAATGTCCTTGTTATGATTATGTACTTACATTTTCAAATTTATTGCAAGAGGATTGATTTTTTTTTCAATATGTTTTTTTTTTTTTAAGATTTATCTATGATTGGGTGTACAGTGGTGTATTCAGGGATGTTTATGGCGAATTCATGATCCAGGTGAATGAGGATTATCTTTGTTTCAGAGGTACAGTACAGACATTCAGATTTTGAATCTGGTGCATTTTGAATTTATGCAATCTGTGCTGCTTTACTTAAAATTTTCTATGTTTATTCTTTTGTCTGATGTGCAGATAAACATTACTGGACTCATGGCTACGTTTTGATTTCAAAAGAAGTAGAAGATTGTGTCCCTGTATTTCTTAAACATATTGCTAATGATGTGTACATATGTGGGAAAACCATAAACTTACTGAAACTGTGTTGTCCTAGGGTAGGTGTTGGTTTGGTTCTTTCTTACTATGTTGAGAAACTCACGACTCTTAAGGCCTTTAGCAAATTTGATCTTTTATTAATAAGTGGTATTGCATAAGTACAGTGTTGATTCATGTATGATAATTATTTAGTCTCAGATATTTATTTGTGAGCTGATTATCTACTCCCTTATACCTCACTGCATAAATATAAAATTTTGATAGCATCAAATTTGTGCTATCGCATGTTATGTTCTAGACTTCTGATTTTCTGTTGCATTGAAAGCAAGAAATTTTTATGCTTCCAAACAAGTACCCTCCATTCTTCGCACAACTCATACTGTTCTTTTTGTATTTAAGTACCAAGTCTTAATTCAGTTTTGCATAACTCTCTTATTTCATCTGTGTCTACCACTTTGTTTCGGAAAGCCCTTAATTCCTATTTTGTGAAACAAGTCTTTCTGAGAAGAAGAACATATTAAATTACTTAATGTCTCCCCTCTATATATCTCCAACAGTGAAGCAACCATAGAGGTTGTTCTTGAATCTATGGGCACTCTTTGCCAAGTGACTTGAATTCTGTTTCTTTGTAAGGTCTGAGGTGCCCAGTCTTGTCAGAGCTGAGCACCCCCTCCGTGCAGGAGCCCACTGTCTCACGTGGGATGTCCTCCTGGCCAGCTCTCCAGTGGCTGCTCCTCTAAGTGTTCTCAGTCTGTTGGTCACGTGTGTCCATAGTGCTGGGCTCTGTATAAAGCAGCATAATTCGTCAGTACCATTATGAAACAGCATCTTTGTCAGTCACTAGGACAGTATCTCGTGGATAACATATTTTAACACTTTGCAATTAAAAATGTATTTAAATGGGAATTTCTAATTATTTTTCAGCATTACATATGTTGGTCAGACATTCCCGTTCCCCGGATTTCGGTTATTTTTTCCCTGGAGGAGCTGAAAGAAATAGAGAGAGATTGTGCGGTGTACGTAGGTCGAATGGAAAGAATTGCCCGATACAGTTCAATAAGCAAAGAGGAAAAGGCAAGTGAGGAAAAGAATAAAAGGATAAAAATCTCATTGTTGGGATTTCTTTTCTTAAATACTCATTTTTTCACATTTATTATGGCTTTGAAAGAATTTGCATTTATGATCAGAACTTTCACGATATCAGTTGCGTTTTGCACTGCTATCTTAGCAAATAAGCTTTTAACATCATTTAAAAAAAAACAATTAGGTGACACGCTGTTTTTGGCGTTTTCATATTTTTAATGAGTTTTGGACTGCCACTGAAAAGCTTTGAAAATATTCTGTTAGATTATAATTTGACAAATACCACAAACTAATTAGTAACCTCTCCTTTTTGGCAAATTGTTTTGTCTGAACGCTTTCAGGATAAACAGACGTACGTCTGTCAAATGCCATCAATCTGGTGTATAAATCAGACTGATTTGGTTCAGTGTATTGTCTGGGGTGTTAATAAACTTTCAATATTTAACTAATAAAATAAATGTAGACTTTCCATTTAATTGCTGGCATTATTTCTCCACATGTACAGTGGCTGTAGATTAATAGCTGTTTCAAAGTGTGCACCTGTCATTCCAGCACTGTATTTTCAAATCTAAAGCAATAGCAAAATTGCCAATAGAAAAATTTGTTTTATAGGATTTACGAATGGAAATAGCCAAACAAGAATTAATTGTTCATGCTCGAGAAACTGCTAGTAAAGTACTAAAAGCCATTAATGGTAAGTTGTGATGAAGTTTCTTGGGTTTTTTTTTTTTTTTAAACATGCTTGCTGATATGAAATAACGATATCCTTATTATAATGCAGATCGACAAATATCAGAGCGAATGGCTTTGGATGCAAAGAAACGGGAGCAGTTTCAGAAGTTGAAAGAGCAGTTTGCAAAAGACCAAGAGGTATTTATTTATTTATATTTATTTCCTTATTTCTAAAGGTTAAGTGCATTTTCTAGGTAAATAATTGAAAGAATATTTTGCTCTACTGTATTGAAGTTTCCTGGATTGCTTTTGAGGTACAGATAAGAACTTCTTGCAGTTGTGTACATCTCAGCTGGTGTTAAGACTAGTTTTTAAGAGTTTTAAATATTTATGCAGCGCCGCCTTGCAATTAAACAAGAGGAGATTGATGATGATTTCAGCTATGCCCGAGAACTCAGAGAAAGGGAAAAAAGACTGAAAGCTTTGGAAGAGGAACTGGAAAAAAAGGCAAGGTAAGTGTATCTATGACTAGTCTACCAAACCTTAGAAACGCAATAATCATTATAGAGACCTCAGGAAAAAATATTTTGCATTACAATTTATGGTACAGGCAGTTTCCCGATGTTGCTCTACAAAGGTAGTGCTGTGAGTAAAGACTCACCTAAGGATTTTTGGTAGTCCATGAGCAATCTTATGATTTAGGCATGGTCAGTACTTCAAAAATTGGGGAACCACTGATTTGCTGCAGTACTGCAGTTTGGTTTTTGTTATGATCAGAGTTTGAAGAGAAACTTTAAATAAATCTTACAGTTAAAAACGGAGACTACAGCAAAAACGGAGACCACAGCAAAAATGGTCAAATGTATGTCAAAGCAGAAAGAAAAAACAGAGGAATTGCAATGATAATTAGATATATAACATGAGTAATATAAAAAAGTGTCTCGTTTTCTTCTGGTATATCTAAGCATGCTTATGAAAAATGAGCCACCTACTAGCATAGTTACAGAAACACATATTGACTAAGAAGACAGTCTCGTTTTGCCCATTTGTTTCTACTCCGTGGCTTTTAGTTTTAAAAATCACCTTCTCATTTCTGAAGTATAAAATGCTCTCTTTCTCTAGAAGGTGAGATGAAAAGTCAAGTTTTATTTTTACCTTCTTTAGGCAAGAATTAATTGACCATTATAGCAAACTTTCTGATGACGCGGCCCGTAGGGAGCAGAGAGCTTTATGGAAAATCCAGCGACACAAGTTGGAAACAGCCCGTCTCAAGTTTCTGTTAGAAGATCAAAAGCGAATCGAGGTATCTTCTAAAAGGATTTAAAGGAATGTTATCTAGACCATTTAGTATTTGGTTCATTAAAAGCTTTTGGTTCTGTCATTTTTACATTTAGGAAATGCTTGAAAAACTTCCAGATGGAAACTACAGGAGAAAATTAGATATTATTCCATACGAACAGTGTCCACTGGCTTTAGATACAAACATGGCTGTGAAAGATCCACGTTCACAGGTGGGTTTATTTTCCTGTATAAGCTTCCTGTAGCTGTTACAAGTTTCCCTGCAGTGAATTGGTTCATTGCTGTTTGGGAAACAGAAGATTCCCTGCAGCAGCACAGTGAGTAGCTGTCCCAGGATTTGTAGAGCATCAGAAGAACTGAAGTGTAAAAACCTCGTGTAATAGTCGTGTTGTAATGAATATCTTCATTATATGACTAACCATACAGTGTAATAACTACTTCTGTTTTAGGTGCCATCTGTGAAATTTCTGCCTTCTAGTGAGAGGCTTGGCAGAAAAGAACCAGAGTCTGGCCTAGAGTGTGTTGCTTCCTCTGACCAAGCATTGGCCGTGGCACAGCCAACAACACAGGAGGCTGATCAGCATCTTCAGCCTGAAGCAGCAGGGTCTGGATGCCATTTCCAGGATCCAGAGCAGGCAGGCAGTTCTGCGTTGTTGCAAGGTGCTAGTTCCTTGCCCGAAGCTGATGTCAATATAGAAGATTTTTTATCAAAGCCACAAGAACAGCAACCTGCTGCCATTAGTGTAGAAGGATCTCTGCTGGATGAAGCGTTTCAGAACATTAACTCTGATCTTTCTGAGACTTCTCAAGGAAGTAGAAATCAGCCTCTCCTGAGAGGACCACTTGAAGCAGAGGGTGACGCACCATCATGTCAGCAACACGAGTATGATTTCAGTACTGTCCTCAGACCCACTGTGGTCTGGCAGGGACACGTTAGGGTTGGAGAAAACGTGTTTGAGGCAGACTATAAAAGGCCTCGATGGAACATTCATGGCCATGCATCCAACTCCAGCATCAGACTGGGAGAATACGTGCCCCACGAGCCTGGGAAATGCCCACACTCCCACGGGAAAAGCAGCAGCTGCACTTGTGACGATCAGCCCCGCCGGCCCCGCTGGAACATCCACGGGCACGTTTCCGAAGCCCACATTAAAATTGGGGAATATGCTTCAGAGGTAGAGTCCCCACGGCCCAGGTGGAATATTCATGGCCACGCCTCAGAAGGCAGCATCAAGGTCGGTGAGTACGTGTCAGACGTGGCGCCGGCGAGGCCTCGGTGGAACATCCACGGTCATGCGTCCGATGCCAACATCAAGATTGGTGAAAACGTGTCGGAGGTCGTCTCGGCGAGGCCCCGCTGGAACATCCACGGGCACGCATCCCAGTCCCACATCAGGATCGGGGAGCTGGTTTCGGATATGGAGCCTCTGAAACCTCGTTGGAGCCCGTTTGGCCACGCGTCCCAGTCGAGCATCGAAATAGGGAAGTGGGCTCCGTCTGCAGAGAATGACCCCATTCCTCACCGCAAAGCCATTTCTGGTCCCTCTTCCAGCTCCACGGTTCAGGCTCTTCTGTACAATGAAGAATTAGCTCCTGCTGAGGGAAGTAGAAAGGAAGTAAAAACATCACAAGCTGAGAAAAAGACTTTTCCACAGTCCCAGTCATCTGACAGCGTTCCAGGCTTTCCTGGCACCAGTGCCAAAGGTGACAATAAAGAAGACATAATGGAAGGGAAGCAAGAAGGTAAAACTAATTTGTTCAGCATTTAAAATCACATGAAAGAAACTGTAAATATTTATGTTCAAACTGTGTACTTAATTCCTTGTATGTGCTTTTAGACTCTAATAGAAAACAGACAAGAATTTTGCATTAGTCTAATTTCCTATCCTAGCACACCATTTAAAAAAAAATTTGATCTGAAACTTTGCCAAAGCAGAGCCTAATGTGGTCTTGAGTTAGAGCGCTTTCCGAATTTAAAATAAATTCTTATTCTCGTCTAAATAACCAACTGCTAACAGTGTTAATACAGTGAGGAGGACAGGCACAAAACTGAGGTGGACTATGGAGAAGCACCGTTACTGGGGTGGTTATTTTCCTGACAATCTGTGTTCTACAGAGAAGTTTTGGAGAGCCTCAGGGACAGATCTGTAGTATAATCAAGCCTGCTGCTGTAGTATAACTGTAAGTACTGCAATAGCAAGCAGTTCTAAGTAATCACTGTCTGTAATTTATTTGTAGTTGCAGTAATTGCAGATGGGGTCAACAAAGATTCTTCCTCGGATTCTTCACAGAGCTTGCAGGTAAGAAACACCATAGTTGTAGTAAAGTTTTCCCATTGCTTCAAAAGATAAGCAGTCAGGTAGCTAAGGTAATTGTTTCTCTCTCAATTTATCAATTGCTATAACACCATCTTATTTTTTTTGATCTGAAAAATGCGGGTAAGTAGGCTGTGTTGTTTTCAATGGAAACAGCTATTCAGCCACACTGAGAGTGAATAATTGAAGCTAAGAGCTGTCATTAGGTTGATTGGTGCTTTTTTTTCTTCTTCTTTTAGACAGAAGAACCTGAAAAATCAGTTCCCCAAGACACAGTGCCTCAAGCAGCTTTGGTTTCTGAAGCTAATGCTGCCAAGGTTAAGAAGGAGGAAGAGGGAGAGGATACATGGAAAAAAGAACAAGCTTATTTAAAAGCCTTATCGGACCAGTACTGTATTGAAAAATACCAAGATAGTTATGATTTG